TGCCTCTTTCATTCAGTTTTAGGCATTCCAATATAAATATATGCTCTCAATATGCTTAACAATCATACTACATGTACAAAAATATTGACAGTTTCTTGACAGATTGCTAGCTGTTAAGATTTAGCCCTCGTTTGGCCCCCATTAATTTCAATTCTATTACATTTCATTTTTCTCTCTTATTTTCAACCATACAATCTTCTATAAAATATTATTACACGAAAATCAAAAAAATTTCTTTCTTTTTCAACCACATATTAAAAAAAAAAAAACTATTTCACACATTTTCATTTCCCCAAAATGGCGGCCAAACGGGGGCTTAATTAGATGTTGAACAAAAAATATAGTTCAACCAGACAATGTAGTGTTGTCACTTGTATATCTATAATGGTTTTTGTATATTTATCTGTACAAAGAGCTTAATTTATACTTGATTGGCATGCATCAATGCTAGGAAGTTTGAAGAGTTATTTTCAAATTCACAATGGCACATTTCTGCTTAATTTCAAGTTAAGAAGAGGTATACCTTACATGTCTTTGGAACAAAGGCGTTCAAGTGCGTTTATGATGACCTTGACTTTGAGTACTAATGGGAGCTCGATTTCAAGATACTTGATAAGAAAATAGGAGCGAGAATTATATTATTAACTAATTAATATAGCCATCTTTAATTAATTAATGAAATGTTTCAATAACAGATCTCATTTAAAGAAATAGAAACCCATAGTATGGTGATTTGACATGATGGATGATCGAGTTGTCAACCTGCAAGGCAAAGTAAGCAAATCATCATTAATCAATGGATTTGATCCAAAAACAGTATTAGCAATGGTAATGGCACCAGGATTGTTGTCGCTGAAGAAAGTAATAGTCACAAGTACAACATTCTCATGCCAAACATCTTGAAAGTGAATAAGCTCAGGTGCATATTTAGAATTTTCGTTAAGCAGGATTGAAATTTAAGAAAGTCAATGTAAAAACAAAATTATGTATGAAGTCTAAAGGACATTATTTACTTAATTAATTCCCGACAAGGATTTAAAACATAATAGTCATCAACAATAGAATCTAGATCTATTTTCTCAACATTTTTTTCCCAATTAAAAGTATCATATAATCAATAATAAAGTCACTCTCAATTTTGTTGTGAAGTATCGTATCGACATGTTTCATTAAAATGCTTGATCAATACTCACTGTAGAAACATGTAATGTAAATACAAGACGAACCAATATAATCATCATAATGTAAGTCTCCAGCATTTTACTCTATGTCGATTGTCAATATAACTCAACAAGTCTGAATACTTAAAATTGAGGCTCACACTTCATATCTAGCTCATAATGTAGTAACTCCCACTTCTTTGCAAGTATGCATGTTGCGGAAGCTTGCTCAAAGGATCGTCAAAACGGTGTTTTTCAAGCTCAGTCCAACATTACCTTTCTCTACTAAACAACCATTCCAATTGGTTCCAATCCACAACCCATATATGCACCTCGATTGCTTCTCAATCTCATCCACAAAGGACAAGATAATGGTGATAATTTGTAGCCACAAAGGCAAGAAGAAAACACAAAGTTAATCACCAGCTTTTCGTACACAAAGTCAGCAGGTTTCTTCTCTTCAAAGGAGCCACGTTTTCCCTCTTATTTTTCTCACAAATCACACTAGGAAACGGCTAGGGTTGTAGCCATATAAATAGGGTTAGTTTATGATTTTAATTGAACCAATAACAAAGCTAAATGAGACGAGATTCAAAGCTATCTAAGAGAGATAGAAATAGGTCGGGTAGAGCCTGTGGATTTGGATGTTGGTACTTATTTCATTCATCGGGCTAAGCCTATGAAATATATATATTCTCACGTTAACATCATAGCCTGGATTTATTGGGTATCAAAACCCAACAAATCTCTACCTAGATGCCCAATAAACCTGCAAACAATCAAAACACATAGTTATTACTTGCATAAAGATAGCCAATAAAATTGAAATCACAGACCTTAGGTCATGTTTCGGACCTGAAACACATACCATACTTACTTCATGTACTCACCAGGGCTAAAGTCAAGAATACCCAAGCAGAAGCAAATATTTATAGTAATCCATCAAGAGCAAGTAATAATGCAATGATGATATAATTTAGGATAATACACAGATCTTTTCAAAAAATCACGTTCACATGGAAGAACAAATTAACACCAAGCTAATCAACAAATGGCCAACACATGCACCAAATGCATAAATGACCCCCACGAAAAGATTTCACCATACTTATCCTATCACATTTTGTGTTGCTCACACCTCGAGAACACATATCTCCCCTTAT